TCAACCCTGCAAAATGACAAACATCCCTTTCACTGTGTGCCTCGTGATGGATGAGCGGCGGGGTGTCCCCTTGACCTCTGACGTGGTTCACCATGCCTGAGATACTGGACCAATGTTTGTCAAGTGAGATGATATGACCGGTCACCTTCTCTCAAAGGTTACCCGGTCATTCTTTGTGCTCAACCCGTCTCTGGTCTTCTAGATTGTTCCTTGTAACATTAGGCGACATTTTGGCTAACGCCCAAAATGTGACCGGTCACTTTTTAGTGGAAGTGACCGGTCAACTTTTGACCTGTCCCAATCGAAGAGTTAACTTCATTTGATGATTGATGAAAGTGACCGGTCATATTTTGACCTGTCCCTTTCGGTTGTCCGGGTCGGGTATAGGAATATACCCATCAAGAAGTCCTCCACTTACCGGCCTTGTGAGGAAGTCATCAAGGGCGGGAAGTATATTTATGTTGATTTATCACTTTTGAAATCATCAAATCATTCTCATGACCTGTCCTTCTTTGAAATCACCAAGTCATTCCCATGACCTGTCCTTCTTTGAAATCACCAAGTCATTCCCATGACCTGTTCTTCTTTGAAATCATCAAGTCATTCCCATGACCTGTCCTTCTTCTAAATTATCAAGTCATTCCCATGACCTATCCTTTTCTGAAATCATCAAGTCATTCCCATGACCTTTCCTTCTTTGAAATCATCAAGTCATTCTCATGACCTATCCTTCTTCTAAATTATCAAGTCATTCCCATGACCTGTCCTTCTTGTTGACCTGTCCTTTTAGACCCGTCACTTTTGCAGTTATCATACCTTTCTCTTTCAAGACCTGTCTTTTTCTGGATTGCCAAGCCTTTCTTTTTCAAGACCTGTCCGTTTAGATTTGTGGGAGTCCAAACGTTGAGCCAGGCTTTTTATTTTTGGGTTTTCCCTCCAAAACCTTTCACCTTCCACCTTCAAAATTCAAATTCCCCCCTCACCATTACCTTATCCACGTGTAAGCTCCTCAGCCTCCCACCTGTCGCCTCGAACTCCAAACCGCCTCTCTCTCTCATATAAATACTCCTCCAACCCATCTCATTTCTTCACTTCTCTCATTCGTTTCTCTTAATTTGCCCGGTCTGCTTTCTCTCTCTAGCTTCTCACCAAGTAAGTGCTCCAGTCCTCCTAGTCTTTTATTTTTCATCTTCCCTTTTTTGACCGGCAATCATAATGTCTTCTGATAGCCAAAACATCTCTGGCCAATCCTATGGATCTGGCTCTCAGCCCTCTTCCTCTTC